TTTGTGATCGATGAGTTGACTAATTGAGACTAGTTTTAAAAATGAATGCAATTCATAAATTTCTAAAGTTTGGGTGGGGAATTATCAGGATGCTGGTCGACGTCTGGTAAAGTAAGATTTGACGTCAAATGGAGTCTCTGCGTTGTTTCAGAGGCGTCACGGGAATGGCATTAATTGTTTGAGTAACAGGAAGGATTATATGCACAGCCAATTAAGGCTTTCCTATTTTGCGAGAGGATAAGGGATACTAAATAGATATTTTCAAAGAAAGAAATGATGCTCAGATCATAGAACAAATGCAGAGGGGAAGTTCTGATACAAAGAAGACAACCCCCCAACGATTTCAATGCTGTCTTATTGGCACAGATTAAGACTGTCTACGGCGAGAGCCCAGTCGGAACTTAGAGAATAAGCCCAGGATTTCATAATGCACAAAACATCTGGGTCAAACTCAAAGGCTACAGTTCTTAGTTGTGCCATCTTTTGAGCGACTTTTCTCACGTTGAGGGAAACAACACTGAGCGTAAGCTCATTGCCGTTGATAAGAAAGGAGGACTGGGTGGTAAAATGTAAACCGTGAGGGTGAGGTAAGAGAAGTGAAATCGCTGTGGTCTAAAACTTGCGGAAATGCTACCACTAACCAAAGAGGCACCATGTACGGAAAAATATTTAGTAAGGGTCTATGAGAAAGAATGCTGTTACGCGGGGCCAGAAAATAGAGGCAGACATTAGAATCGGATTTTGAGAAAGATTGGCATAATATGAGGGGATACCTATACTAGAAAATAAACTAAAAGATTTGGAAAACAGTTTATAAAATGATGATACCTAGTTATTTGGGGCGTCTGACAAGGTGTCGGGTTGGGAAGCTAGGTAACAAAATTTTACATGTATCTTAGGCACCGGTATGTTAAAAGGTTCCCTAGCCCTAATAGATTTCTTAATTTGAGAATTTTGTCTAGGAACAGGCGAAGACTTCCCTGGGTTATTAACTGGCTTATCCGATTGTCCCGCTGCGTCAAATAAGTTTGGTCGGACATAAGAACGAGATGGACTCGATCCAGGGTTTGAACCAAGTCCCTATTCTCACCCTTGGTTTCCGACTGTGACCCTGGGCTTTGCAATTGTTGATACTAAGATCAAGCGTCCTGGTAAAAATCGGAGCATCTTTTGGGGGTTTGCCGATTTTTCTAGTTGTCCCAAAGTGGCAAGCTTCAATTTAATCAGGGACAATGTAGTAAAATGAAGAGTTTGACGAAACTAAATCCGCCGCAAATAAGGAGAAAAGTTGGCTAGCACCAGATGGAGGGTCAACCTCAGAAACTACAGTCGGATGACTTGAATTTGTGGATGGCTTGGTGCTTGCTTTTGAGGGGGGAACTCTACGTTCCACTGGAGTTTTATACCAGCTAACAGAAAAGCTCGTTTCCTCCTAGATATTGAGGTGAACTCTCCTGATGAGGGAAAATAGTCTGCTTCTATCGACAAAAACAATTGGACCAAAATAGGTGAATTTTTGCTTACAGGGAAACATATTTTAGTTTCTGTGAGCTCAGTGTGAAAGCCACCAGTGCAGTGTAAATTAAAGGGGACATCAAGAAGCTGTCTTTTCTTGGAAAGACTTCTAAAAATAAAGTTAAAGACTCGATTTGGCCTGTCATCAGCCTCAGCAACAACAAGGTCGGTGAAGGATACGAGTCTTTCATACTGTTGGCAAGTGCATCGGGACATTCGCCCTTCAAAAAGACAACCAAGAATAAAGAAAACTGACCCATATTACGACATGAAGTTGTCGAACTTTTCGTGTGCGCCAAGATCTAGGTTTTACATACTGACGGCAAGATTCACATGGGAAACCTGGATATTAGTTTTGTTCACATTTCGACGAAGGGTTGCCTGAGGTTTTCATTATAGAAAAGGTAAAACAGGAGACTGTCTGCTGTAATTTAGTTCTGAATTACTGAAACTATGGTTGCTGGAATTTTGGATATGATTTTCAGGAATAATATCATTTTTATAATTATATCTATAGGGCTCAGGAATTCATTTCGGAATAGGCGCACACCGGTCCACCGGATTTCCGAAGCAAGGAAGCTTTGTACGCGTGATAAGGGTCACGAATAGGCAACCACCTACCATGCCGAAGTCGGCCAATCTATGTTAGCAGACGGAAGATGACAAAGCCTGGGGGGTAGATTTGTACAGAACCGTTTCCGGCTTGTTTGCATTCATTCAACCAGTTATAACCCCGATCGCTACATGGGACCGAAAAGAAAAATATGCGCACGGACACATCAGCGGTGGACCAGCTGTGCTATGTGTGTCCGTGCGCATGTTTATGTTTGTCATCCCAGCCAACAGTCAGGGTTATGGATGGCTGAATGAAGAGCAAAATGCCCAAAATAGTTTTACACCAATCTACCTCAGACTCTGTCGCCTCCCCTCTGTCCAGGAGTTGCTAATTTTGGCAAAGTTATTTTTTTAGGAAATTTAAGGACGATGCAATGCATGGTAAAAATTTCGGCAAGTCAGCAGTATCGGTAGATAAATCGACAATAACTGTGGTCAATGCAGAGGATTTGTCGCTAAAAATACAGTGATATTCTACGATTTACAAGGCGAAAACATGTCCTATGTACGACAGTTAGACTGTCGGTTTTGACAATATCCTCCATGGGCTCCACAGCAGGATGAGAGCAAGAACTGCGACTTGTTCGCAATTTAGTTTACGGTGATAGTAGACTTGCCAAGCATCTACCGGAATCTGTCCTTCCCCATCTGATCCCGGTGTTAGGAGTGATTCAAGAAAACCGTATTTATAAATCTTATGAATGCAGATACACCCTAGCAGGAATAAGGCGAAGCAGGGTTAGGAATTGTGATACAATGTGTCTCCACCTCCATATTTTTTTATTCTTGTGCATTTTGTGTAAGACTATGGGACAACTCATTAAGAAATACTATATGACCCACCATAATCAGATTCACGTCTTATGTAATGCCAACACAGACGCCTCCGTGGTCACTCGTGTCTTACGAGTGGTCGTTACTCGCGTGGTAAAATTGGCAAAAACGATAAACCAGAGCTGTCAAGTCGATGCGGACTTCTCTGACTACAAGGAGACGTTTGATAGACGTCATCAGCAACTCCTACGAAAGATTTCGCATCATGGAATCTGGGAGACATTTTAAGTGGATCGGAAGTTTCCTATAAATGAAGCCGAAAAAAATAATTTTTAGCACCGCAGCATTCTAATGGGTACCAGTAGAGAGCGGCGTCCTACGGGTTTCGCTAATAGGCCGTTTTTACTTTTTCAGCCATAAAAGTGAATGTGCTGAAGATCTCTACTGGAATGCCGTCATGCTTACGAGTTATATAAAAGTCTGGTAACGATTAGTTGGGCTTACGGCACGATGAAACTACAAGAAAACGCTAATATACTGGCTGTCTTGTTCACCAACTGACACAAAATGTCTAATTTATCCTACTTGTAACTTCGTGTCTGAATGTCGGTTGGGTACTTTTCTCAAATATCAGTAGGTGTGATTCCACTAAAATAATTGGATGCGCACAGTTATTTTTTGCATTAGGACAACTTCGAACTTTTTATCCAAATGACAACAAGCGTCATTATTCAGTATAATTTAGTATATATATATAGAAGTTACACGGGGCCTTGAAAACCAAATTTGCAGATGCACGAAAAAAAGCATGCACACATTTACATAACGGTTAAATCCGTCGTTGATATCGAGTAAATATATGAGTGCTAGGCAAAAATGTTTCAAGTTAAGTTTAGAATGTCTCGACGTTTTCCGTCAAGACAACCAAATTCGGCAGTTTGCTTCATACTTTAACTTGTTTGTGGGAGAAGGATTCGGCCTGCACTTAAAGTTTTACATAATTCCTCTCCAAATTTGCGTTGGTGAACTTGATGAATAGTCATCTTTACCAGTTGAAGATTGTGAACAAAACTAAGGGCATAGTTCAGCCCTCTGAGGACCCTGTCTTTTATAAGCTACGAATCTTAAGCCGTTGAAGATTTCATTTGGTCTACTTTGTAAGTTCTCCAAAAGATGGAATTTTGTTTATGGATGGAAGCGAATATGTGAAGAATATGAACACACGATCTCTGGGACAGAAGGTGTATTAGTCTGAGCTTTTGGTCTCGTACAGGGGCCAGCGCCAGAGACTGTGAGAATGAGACATCAAATGAACAGTTTTTGTAGTCAAGCCATGAAGGGGGGGAGACATGAGTGCAGAGTGTGGTATTCGCGATAAACTGAGTCCCACGCCGTCTCATGGTGTCGTGACTGCGTGCGCCCATGGCTGAAAATTTGGTTTCGCCTCTTGGCCGCGGGAACGGGGCGAGGTATGTCAACGTGTCTCTTGATAGAGTTGGCGTCAGACACCCAGGCCTCCAACAGTTCTCGCCCTGTCTTATTGCTGGCCCGCTCTACTATCCGCGTGCACGCGAAGTTGAATTCGTGGCCTTCCTCCAGGGTGCGAGTGGCGACCTGAGACAACGGATGTCTCTCCGGACCGCCCGTTTATGCTCCTTTATTCGTGAGCTAAGTCGTCGTCCGGTCTATTTTGTGCAGCCGCGAGGGCAGTCCCGACAAGGGATGTGATAAACGACACCCGACTGTTCTGCCACGTCTAGTCGATCCTTCATTCGCATGATTTTGTTGCGCACGGTCGCTGTCGGTACAGGGTGCCAGGGTGTTGGATGCTCTCCTCCGTTTGGTCGCCATGGGTGCGTGCAGAAGCAGCGGTCGACGAAACTGTTCGGGTATCCATTCCTTGCCAGATGGTCCCGAAGATGCCGAAATCCTCGTACTTGCCCCTCTGGTTCACTGCAGAGCATTTTTACCCTTTGGAAGAGTGTCCTAACATAGTTGCGTTTATGCGGCATTGGGTGGTTAATATGGGAGTTGAGAATCTGAGTCGTGTTAGTCGCCTTTCTGTACACCGTGGTGTTGAGTCCGCCGTTGGGTGTTCATGTGACGAGAACGTCAAGGAAAGGCAGCTGTTCGGCAAGCTCTCCTTCCCTTGTGAACTGAATGTCCGGGAAGATGCCGTTATGCAGGTTCTGAGAGCCGACCAGTCTGCTCCTTTCAATTACAACGATGGTATCGTCCACGTACCGGCGCCCAAATGCAGTTTCATAGTGGTCGAAGGCGACTTTTTTTAACTCCTGCAGGACTAGATCTGCAAATAGGTTGAATATTGGCGAACCCATCCGCGCTCCTTTGATCTGCTCGTATCTTCTGACATTGAAAGTGAAAAAGGTTTGTTGGCAGAAATCAAAAAGTTGCAGCAAGTGGTCGATTTTTAGGGGTCTGTTTGTTTCCCCGTAGTTCTCTTCGAGTCGTTTGCGAAGAACGTCGCGTGCCAGGTCCGGTGGGATGGATGTGAATAATGAGACCGCATCAAAGGACACCATAATCTGATCCGGTCGGACAACGTTTCCTTGGAAGTCGGCCAGGAATTGTGAGGCCGAATTGATGGAGGTCCTTGAGCCTTCTCGGAGAAAGTTAAGTTTTCGGGCCAACCACTTGCATAGATTGTAAGGGGGGCTACCTTTCAATGCAACGATCGGTCGAAGGGGAACATTGGGCTTGTGGATTTTGGGTAGTCCATAAAACCGGGCCAGTGCCGTGTCCGTTGGTTTTATCGGTTGTCATTCGTCTGGCGATATTGCACTGTTGCTTTTGAGTGGGTTCCGGAGTCCGGTTAGTTTAGTCCAGGGCCGTAATGACTAAACGAGATATCCATGGATTTTTTGGCAGATTTTCAATACTTCAGATTGACACAACTGTGAAAAACTCGGCGCCTCGCCCTCCCACCTAGGAGCCGAGATGTTCACTGTTGGGACAATATAAATTATTGAAAATCTGTCTAAACATCTATGAATTACGTAAGTCTGATAGTCATCTGGTGGACTCTAGCTTAATTACTTAGGAAATCCTGCTTAGGCAGCCAACTTACTGTATCGGATTTGGGGGATTCCAGACGTTGCAGTAGGTTGGGCGGGTAAACTTGACCCAAATGTGATTCAACTCGCGTCGTCCGGCGGGACCTCGTAGGTCAAGTGGTTAGAGCGTTGGCTGTACTAAAGCCTTCCCCTTACTGCGTGCGTTCGAAGCCCACCGAGGCGCCGAGCTTTTCACAATTGAGTCACTATAAACGAGATATCCTAAAATTGGCCGAACGAATTCCCCAAACACTCGATGGACACTCTCTTAGCCAAAATGACGGAAAAATCTCCTAATCACGCAGTGAATACCCATTGTCTTCTTTGATACCTTGGCGAAGTGAAACGATGGTTTGAGACGGACCTTATCCAAATACAAGAGTCTCTTATCTCATTAATTATTAGAGTTGGTAACCTTCGATAACGTAGTGGAATTGAAATCATATCATACTCTTGTTACTAGATCAAACCGAATAACTGGACATTTGTTAAAATTGAGGTCAAGAGACCAATAAATACACCACTATAATCAAATATCCGGGTTATTTTCCAATCTTAGCGCATTTCCGGCTTTTCTATTGATGTTCAGAATTTAAAATCATCGGAAAACATTACTGCACTATGAACGCCTACCCACTGCGATTTAACATTACAAATGCGAACGCATTGACAGCGGCCTGTGAGGAAGACGGTCAACTAACTTAGCAGATTCCTATTCACGCCCATTCAGCGTAATTCAGCTACAACCGTCTGTGTAGAACAATCAATTGCCTTTCAGAAGTCGGAGTATACTGCGTTTACTGTTAGACCCATTGCAGTTAGCTTTGTTCCACCGTCGATGTGTATGAGCCGGTTAGTAAGACAGGATCAACTCCTTCTAAATCCATGCTGATGCAAACTAAGTAAGTTGTCTTTCTTGGGATGCCACATTAAATCCGTTATTATTAACTTCTCCAACAGTCTGAGACCGGTGCTTTGAGACTTACTGTTTTTTAACCTAGTTGTGGAGGTTCTCTCGTCCATTTGTAAATGGATGTTATGTTAGTTTGCATCCAGTCAGTAAGCAGAGCTCCAGCCTCCATCGAAGTTTCAAAAATCTTGGAAACCGGGGAGGCCAGTTAGTCTGAGTGTTCAAGCTGGACGTTTGCAAGCATGTCATCCGGACCAGGTAATTTAGTTTGCTATAGCTGTCTCCAGTTTTTCCTTACCTTGTCTGTTGTGAAGACCATGTTAATTGTATTGCTAGCTTTGGCAATTGGTATAATCAATAATCAAAAGCCGGCTTGTCGGAATTCACGGACGTGAAGAAATCGGATAACAGGTTCGCCTTGTCGGAGTGGTCATACAATCTACTTTCCAAACTATTCCCCTAAGACAAGGATTTTAGTCCCGGTTGTGTTTTGTCCTTTTCTCAACCAAAGACCTTTTTAGGGTTTACTTATATCCCCATGACTATTCTTGACTCAAACGCGGTTTCGCCCCTCTCCAGAAGTTTCAGGTATATATTTCCGTGTTTTTTCAAAATCTGTAGATTACTCTAGTTGCTAACATCTGGCGTACTATTTCCAGAGTCTCTTTTTCATTCTAAGATTCTCCTTTATTGCTAACTTCACCTACTTAGAACAAAAAAGCACTATCTCCTCCTAAGTGGGCAACAACTCTCGACCAAATAGTGAAATACGTTCTAGATGAAGAACCGATGGGTTTTCGGGTCAAGTGCTTCTGCAACGTTCCATTTCTACTCCTTCAGTAGGTTCTTCATTCGCTTCAGTAATCTCTGGATAAATGTGACGATCTCCAGGGTTGAAGCATAGAAGTGTGCAATAAATACATTCTAAGGTCCCTTGCATCAGGAGACCCCGAAATGGTCACCACTTCTAATCCAAAGACAAGCATGACCCTGATAAAATACTACTACTACTACTACTACTAATAAAAAAGGTAATAAATGCATTTAATAGCAGACTGCGGCACTGTCAAAAAGGTACCATGCGGATCGAGCTAGCGATGACAAACTCCAGAAAAATAAATGTAGGCAACAATGTTCTTGTTTAGCTTGGGCAGTTCGAAAGAAAAAAATGCAGCCCCAGAAATGACGTCAGTCCTCAAGAGTAATGGTCAAAATTGCATCGGACGTTATAATCCTTTGTTGAGAGTGCATCAGACAGGGCGCATGGTGAACAGTTGGCCGCTGTCGGCTGAAGAAAATCATCGGTAGTGCTGCCGGACTGCAAAGTCAGCACCACTTCCCATAAGATGGGACCGGGCAGAGAGATCAAAGACCACAGAATTAATCTCTACGAAAGATTAGTTTTGTGGATTAAGCTCACACAATTTTCGGAGATTCTCCAAATGTAGAAAACGAGTGATAGTTTTGTCAATCGAAGAGTAATTTTGTAGAACTTTTATGTTCCAAATTGCAATTATGTTCACAGAAAAGAAATGACGATATTTAGTGTTACGCGCCAGCGACGAAAATAAAGTCTCACGGTGACTATTGCACCTGGGGTCAGGAGGCTTCAAGATATTAAGAAGATTAAAAGTCCGACTTTTTAAAAGCTTAACCAGTAAAAATAATTTCCTTCGTAAACGGCCAGACCGCAAGGGACCAAGGTTTGCAAGCCCACAACGTTCTTGGTACGTACATAAAAAAAACCTTAAATTTCGAAATAAATCTGGCACGCCACTAGCAAAAGTGAGGAATAGAGACGGGACGAGCGCACCACCCTTCAAGCTTGTGGCGTTGGAAATAGCTTTGTTAACCTTAATCCGTTGTGTCCGAGAGCCCAGATAAGAAGGTCGTAAATCCAGACGTTCATCAGCTGTTTCGAAAGAGGAAAGTTTCAAGAAAAGATGAGCATGGTCATTATGATCAAACGTCTTAGCAAAATCGAAATAGACTGTGTAGAGGACGAAACCATTTTCCCTAGATTGTGGAACATGACTGAAGAGAAAGAAGGCTGGCCGGTGTCACAAGACGAATCTTTGAGGTATCCGTGCAGCGCAGGATTCAGTAGGTTATTCTCTGATAAGTTACGCACGCTTATTTTCAGTCCCAGACGTTAGGATTTTTTAAAGTTGCTGAGATGGTGTCTGCTAGTTGGAGGTTGCCAAATTATGTTTGGGGATAGCTAGAATGTGGAATTCCTTATGCAAACTAGGATAGATTTCACGTTTGGAAGTGAGATGAACTATCTTGTACATGTAGAACGGATTAATTAAAGTCTAAATTCTTAATTGAGGTATTAACTTGCGCAATATTACACACTTATCGGAACTTGCAATATGTTTCTCTAGTTTGATGTTAAATTCCAGCAAATTTTGAAGTTTAGGGCTAGCTCGGCAATCCTCATGGTTTCATATGTAATGGAAGGGAAGTTATATTGTGACGTTTCGGCTTCGAAATGTTTCCCTTTTCTTCTTACATCGCTGCTACAGTCATTTATTAGCATGCTCACTTACATTGTATCCTGATAAAGGGTGGCATCGAGTAGAAGTATGAAATCATTTCATGTTTTCTAATGCAAAGTAGCTTCTTTGTTGGCCCATACATACATTCTAAGGACTAGAATAATGTGGAGCAGATGAGATCATACCTGAGTTCAAGAGGTCGTTATCCTTTTATTTATGGTATGGCTGATACAAAATGCTACAAACGTTAGTGGTACAGACGGTGCAAACAAGCCGTAAGATGTACAAGCAAACTGTTTTCTACCATTTCGTAATTCGCACGCCTTCTGGTGTCCTAGCCGCTGAGCCTGTCGTTTATTCTTGTCTTCATCCCTTAAAACCGCGGGGTCGCTGGTTAAGATTTCAACAGCTAGCCCAATTTATCTTAGTTTCCCGAATATAATTGACGGTAAACATGATTTTCCTGTATTGTTAAATGCAGTATTATTCATCAGATATGCTACAAAAAAAACGATCAAACTTTTCGATTTACCACGATCGTATCCATTGACAGTTAGTCCCCTCTCTAGGATGAAGGCATGTACGAGTAGGGTTGATTCTTCACAATTCAATACGATGGCCCAGTTTCGCCCGCGTTTATCTTCAACTCATTAGTGGCAGTTATTTTTGAACCCAACAATCTCATCAGTCACACTCATCCTATACCCTTTTTGCAGAATTTCTGTCAGGAAGTTCAACTTAGATTACCGTATACGCGATTTATTCCCTTTTCAATCATCGTTACTTTAGATATGCTGGTAGGCGGTTGTTTAACATAACAGTTAAGGTTATTATAGGTAAATGAGGTCAGTATACATACCTTCTTGCCGTGTTTCATTTCCGAGGAAATTACTGCGCGGACTTGGAGTAAATTTTTCGAAACGAGCCTTTTCAGACGCGGTCCAAAGTTTGATATAAATATTTTAGCTGAAGTCAATCAGCTACTGCGGAATAACTGCTAAATATTCACAAACCGCCAACAGCCTGCCAGTAGTAGACAACTGTGCAATGATTTGCCT